CTCCACTAAAAAAAAAACAATTTTTGATATGGATAATTACCTATGTTCATAAATACTGGCAAGTTTTAACTGATCAGTTTAGTACGATTAGCATTAACTCTTCCACTCACAGCTGGACTAGGTGTAATAAAAAAAATTCAATTCTTGGGTTATTTTGCTCAATTGTCGATTCAAGATGTAAATTATTTTACCTTCGATGTAAATTTGTTAATTTAAAAAAGTCACTAAATTTTTCCTGAAAGCTGCAATAAATAATGGGTTCGATAAAAGCAAAAATAATAGAAACCTTTTTGGTATGTTTGGAAAACACATCACTGATACTATAATAAAAACAAGTTCATTCAATCATTAATTCATTTACTTGTTATTTCAACAAATATTTAATTGAGTGCCTTCTATGTGCTAGGCACTATGGATAAATGGTGAACAAAAAGGCATTTTTTCCCTTTCAAGGAGCTCAGCTAGTGGAGGAGACAGACATTAATCCAATAATCACATCTTTGACAAGTACCACGAAAGAGATACTTATGGTGCTGGGGGCTGTACACTGGGAATTCTGATAGTGTGAGTAGTTAGGAAAGACCTTCTGAGGAGTGGTAAGTGAGCAAATGCTGAAGAATTAGTAGAAGTTGCCTACTGGAGGTTGAAGGAAGGGGCATCACAGGAATTGGTAGAGAGAAGAGCAGGTGCCAAAATCCTTGAGAAGGAAGACAGGTATAGAGCTCAAGAGAAGGAATGGGAACATGGTGTAAGATGAAGCTGTAAATGCAGTAGAGGTTAGGCCATGCAGGCCTAGTAGGATTAAGTGTTTAAAGGATGTAGTGACATGATGAGTTTGCATAATTTCACTCTGAATGCAGACTGGAGAATGAATTAGAAGAAGGCAATATGGATTCTTGAAGATCAGTTACAATGCTATTCATGCAACAACTTTTGAGAACATACTATGTGCCAGGAAGTGTTGCTTGATGCTGAACACAGATACACTGGTGAACAAGACCAAGGTTTGTATGGAACTGAAAGCATCTTACTGTCTTTAAAAGTAAAAAAATACAAGCAATATGAATAAAGATACTGATACTTTTATAAGTATAATGTAAAAATATAAATATTAGTATCTTTAATAAAAAGACAAAATAGATTAATGGAAATAAAACTTATGATCTTGGTTTTGCCACTAAGTAGTTACCTGCCCTTGGTAAAGGAATGTAATAAGTTCTATGTGGTGGGCTTTAGTAAAATTCATTTGTAAAATAAAGAATAAGACTAATGAGCTAAGGTATTTTCCCCCACACCTAAAATTTTACTAATCTAATTATGTAATTTGAAAAATGGCCTCATCATGTTTGGAAACCTCTTGCTCCATCAAGGAAAGCTAATTGTATTTGTCCAAGTGAAACTTGAAGTGGTAAATATGTATAGTTTTGCAAATCTGTGCCAAGTAATTTATAGCCTAATGATTCAAATGAATAGAACAATGATTCATATCCTAATTACTGACTATTGAGGTGTGTAAAATAGCTGCTTCTGGCTCACAGTGATTATAATTTCTAAAGCTTGTTTCACAGGCAGGAATATAGAAGATGCTGTACTATAACCCACTTGGAAATCTGACATTTTAATTGGAAAATGTTAATAATTCCAAGAAAGGACAGGATTCCATGAATACTCACTAAAAATTTTGAAATAAAAATCTTAAGTGATAAATTCTTAGAGGGACTGAATCTTTGCAACTGTACCTGGTTTGGCTTTATTTATAGCTATGTACTTCATAAATGCTTTGAGGGAGTAAGGATAGTGACAGAGGAGAAAAACAATTACACAAGCTCTATGTGATTTTACAGTGTTAACATTTAGTTACAGTAAAACATTTAATCCTATGATAAAATATTTAAATTTACAATAAAGTAGATATTATTACTAGTTGATAGCATAACATTTCATATTTAAAAATAAAATCTAGAAATTATAATATATTTCATCACAACCTGAGGTTATAAAAAGCTCACTACAACAAATGTCCATTTATTGCAAATAATATTTTTTCCAGATATACTAGTTCTTACTAGTAGATGAGAATAAACTACAAAGGTATGAGAAATCTCGTTCACTCTGATTTGAAGAGTGACTGCATGGGCAGTGTGCACATTAATATGGGTGGGTACAGGGTGGAGAAAGATATTCCAGAACCCCAAACTAACTTTCCTAACTCCCCATTCTCTGCTACCCTGAAGGAGTACAGTTGAAAAAAGAAGACATAGATGAAGGAGGCGAGGAGGAAATGAAAGAAGGGAACTATAAATAAAGAGGAGGGAATAAACCAGATGGGGAACAAGTGTAAGATGGGAGTGAGGAAAGATGGTCCAGTGTGTCCCTCAATTCAGAGGTGAAGGTGGGGAAGCGGAGTCTCCAAAGGAAGAACCTCAGTAGTTCTATCTTCCACGTTTCACTTCCCCCACCTGAGAAATTATCTTATTGCTCGAGGAAAATATATCACACAGTTTAGTATACTAAATACTTAAATTCAGTTCAATTCCTTTAGTATTTTTTGTCTGAAACCTGTTCATTCAGCATCTTAGGAGTTGTGGATGACACATAATAATTTTTAAATAGTTTATTCTTTCAAGGAGCTTCTCATTTTGTTCTATCTTTTTATCTTTTACTTTATACAGTTTTGTCCCCTTGACATATGAATTCAATAACTACATTCCCAGTGAAGAAACCTGAAGGAAGAGGCTAACAATTAACATAAGAAATTTTGGCTGGGACTTGCCTTGGATGGGGACAGAATCCTGGCCAAGGGCAGCAGCAAGAGTGCCATTTCTTCCAGACTAAAGGAGACAGCTTGAGCACAGCAGACTTTCCCTAAAAAGAGGAAAGTGAGATTAGGTTTGGTGAATGCAACGGAGGTCTTTGCTGTATCCAGTCTGGCCTGGTGAAGGGCAAGATTTGTGTCTGGGGTAGGGTGGGGCAAAGGGAACAGACATACAGGTGCTATTGCTTCTGTGGTCAGGGATGAGGAGGCAGTGCAGAGAACCATCAGTCCCATTAAGCAATCACAGGGCCTCAAGTAGGGCAACAGTAGTGGTAATGGTAGCAGCAGCCACAGTGCTAGTAAACACAGTAATAATACTAACAGCTAACATGTACTGAGTGCTTATTATATGCCAGAATATGTTTTAATTACATATATTAACTTCTAATCCTCACACCAACACTATGGGGTAACTACCATCATGCCCTTTTATAAAAAGATAAACTGAGGCACAAAGAAGTTAAATAAAGTACTTGAGGTTACAGGGCTAGGAAATGGAAAAGGAGGTTGTATGATTAGGAAATGTAACAGGACTATATTGCCTGCTTATTTGCTAGTCAAACTGCTACATATCCCTTAAAAGGAATCAGGTATAGCTTTCATTAGGCTAGCATATGATTTGTGTAGCAATACCATATAGGCAATCATTAGAGTTGGGTTCAAAGCCTAACAGGAAGCAATGCAGAGAGGAAATACTTTGTTTCCTTCACTAACTTAATATAATTTCAGTAATGAGACTTTTTGTAATGCTGGGCACACCCTAGTTTAAACATGCAACCACATTCCAAAATGAAATTTCAATTACTGTTTTCCTTTTCTTTGCTCTAACAGTTATCATGGCATTAAATTAAGGGCATACTGTAAATGTTCTTCAGTTATGAACCAGGAAACCGGTAATTACCAGACTATTTCACTGATTTTGTGGAATGCATTACAAACTTTTCAGGCTTTCTAAGGTGGCCTGGCAAAATTAAGAAAAATTCTAAATCCTGATGATCTCTTTGAGACCTTCAGAAGTGTTCCATTCCAAAATACAAGTTTTCCTCCTCTTATTGAACTACGAGTTTCCAGCAACGAATTCTCCTTTCTTCATTTAAATCAGCGATTAGGTAGGGGACTATGCAAAATTCACCTTCGGGAGGAGTGTTTTGAAGAGATTGTGTTACTGGGCATCACATTTAGAAAACAAAGAAAATAAAAGATTTTCACTACAATAATTACAGGAAAAACGATAAATTCTTAGCTAGTCTTCAGAGGAAAGCAGCAAAAGATCTCAGGGTGGGGGATGCAGAGAGGGCAGCAGGAAGCAATTTACCTTGGCTCCAGGAGATTCTAGAATCTCATGATATCTTTTTACATTTGTTCAAGTGCAAACTTACATTTTTTTAAAAAGTCGGAGAAACACTATGAATTTATTCTAGTCACCCGTTTAATTCCCTAGACCAGAGCACAGTGCCGTACACACATCAGGATTTAAACAAGCAGCTGCTGACCTGAGGTGTCCCTGGAAAGTCCCGAGTTCCCGTGTCTCGGCCCTGCCACGCCCAAGGCAACCTCTGCTAGGCCACAAACCTGTTAACCCAACTTTAAATTTCTGAAGCAGAAAGCATACAGGCAGAAAAGCCTTGCAGCTCACAGGAAACAATGGCGAATAAGTCATCTATCAAGGGACTGATAAAGTTTAAAGGATTTGGTGGTGCATAAAGAAAAACAAAAACTTGAGGGGACGGAGAATCCACTCAAACGTCCCTCAGGAAACGGGATGTTTACCGAGTAAACAAGCTGTAGCCACACACACACCTGCTACTCCCAGAAGCGGCCAGGAGCCACTATCGCCACCTTCTGGTCACATCCGGGCACTTCTCTACAAACTCGTGACGTTCCGACGTCAGAACCGTTGGGTTTATTTGAAACACACGCACAACCAATCAGTCGGCGCCTACGGGGAGGTGGGCGGAGAGTAGCGGCCAATCACCGCCCCTCTGGAGACTCCAGCCTATGGGAAGGAGGTTGACATCATGCGCCAATCGGCATGGCTTTTAGAGAGAGCGACTCAGTTTTTGAATTGGCCGTGGCCGTCGCGGGCAAGGAATGGCGGTAACGGTGAGGAAGACCGGTGCTTGAAAAGAACTTCCAGGGCGTCTTTTGAGAGGGGTGAGGGCTCAGTGGGCATAGGTGTGGGTGGCGGAGGTGGGGGCGGGCCGGCATCTTCGGAGCAGTGGGCCGCTCTGCGTGGGTACCACGGCCCCGCCCCGGTGATCGCGAATTCCCGAGCGCACAGCCCCGGCTTCCCGGCTCAGGGAACCGCCCCGCCGCCATCCCAGCAGCGGGGCCGGGACGCGGAGTGGGGGCCCGAAGTCCACCAGGTTGCAGTGCATCGTCGCCGCCCACCGGGTTGGATATTTTTTCCCGAAAGTTTCTGGGCCAGAGGGATAGTTTTTGGGAAGGGGCGGGGGGGGGGTCTTGGCATGCTGCAGTGGCGGCCGGCGGCTGCGGCCCTTGGGGGTTTTATCTCAGATTACTTAGTGGTTTCACTCTTGGATTCTTCTTGCCGTCTTCTCTGTGAGAAGTTCAGTTTTTGGTATTTACGTAAAAAAAAAAAAAGCCAGCCCCTTCCGGCACCACATCCTGCGTACAAATTTGTACGGCTTAGTGATTAAAAGCGCAGCCTTTGGAATCAGCCTGGGTTTGAAGCCTTGTTTTGCCACTAACAGTATGGCTTGGGGGGTGTTAATCTCTCTGCTCTAGACTTTAGCTGTAAAATGGATCTACTACTACTACTTGCTTCTTAGGATTGTTGCAAAGATTAAGTAAATAAAAGTAAAAGGTTCAGAACAATGTCTGAAGTTTTAGAACAATGCCACGTATTAAGCGTTAAATAAGTGTTATTTGTTAATCGCAGTGTTATATTATGGTAATACTAATGTTACTGTCAGTAACACCAACATATTCAGAATGGCATTTAGCTCCTCCACCCTGAAAGATGATTGCTTAAAAAAATAAGCAAAAGGAAACTTAAAGTGAATATTTGTTTAAATAGTAGAATTTACCTTTGTGATGAAAAGAAGCATGTGTTTTAGTGTATTTAGTCAGAAGTCCTTGAGTATGTTCTCAAATGAGAAATGATCTGTATGGATTTGTGAACACTGATCCTACTGTGTTTATTTTAAAAGTGCAGAATACATGAATGTGAAAAAGTGGTTAGTGTATTTCAGTTTGTAGTCAGATTGTTATGTCATTGGTTTACCATGCAGCTCTTTTTGTGTTAAATTTTAAAGCTGTTTTGACAATAAATTGACCATATACAGTATCATCAGAGACAATTTTTAATTTTTAATCACTTACTTGTTTTGATGGTCTTTAAATACAGGCATAGGTGAAAAATGCAACCTCATATGATATTTTTATTTATTGAAGTCTTCCTCCTCTATTCCTTAAAGCAGGTTAATTCATCCCTTAATTTTCTTTTTTAACATTTTTTTAAAGGGACTTTAAGTGAAAGCCAGTTTAGAGCCTTTCTTTTTGGCTGTAAACAGTTCAGTGTAAGTGAAGTAAACAGCAAAAGGAAAAAGAGGGAGGGGGGCGCTGATATTATTTATTATTGCTTCTAAATGAAGGCTTTTATTGACAACTATTGGAGCACTCCTTTGGAGAGCCTTAGAATAATGACTGACATGGATGTATGGTAAGAGAGTAAGAAATGTCCACGTTGTGAATATTATATGAGAATTAATCATTGTCACTCATTTTAAGATATCATCTATTCAGTTTTCATCACAGTAGGATTTGTGCCATTATCTCTTTTACTGATGTGGAAACTGAGACTTAACCTACTAAGTGTAGAACTGAGACAGGAAGCTCAGTTTCTTGACTTTGTGCACCTAATAATTAGGCTTAGGTCTGTTATTTTTAGTTTGTACATCTTCACACTATTTGGTATCACCATGCAGAAATGATGCTGATTATACTTAAACTATTACTTTGCTAAAAACCTGATGGAAGTTGCTTGTATATTTTTTTAATCTGAAAAAGTAGGAAAGGGTAAATTAGATCAGGCATGTACCTCCAGTTAAGGTGGGGCTTCTTCTTTATATTTGCCCAATATTCTGAAAATTTATTTCAAGATAATCTTACATGAAAACCCCAATTTGAACTGATAAAAATCTATTCAACTTTTTCTTTATTCCTTGCTTGTTTAGCTTTTCAACTCTTGAGTCCTGGAAATTTAAAAACAAACAAGATTTTCTTTCATAGTCCAGAGTCATATTGACACTTGTTCATTGTCTCATGAAATCTTTTAGAGAAGAAACATTTGAAAAGTAATATGAAAATACAGATAAGGGAACAGTCCAGATACACTTGAGAGGTTTGGAGAAATCCACAGAGGTTAAATCGAGAGTGATGGGTCAGATGAAAGATACACTAGGTGGAGAATTAAGCACTATTGAATGCAAGTACGTGTGGAGTAAATTGTGATCGGTATTTGAAAAATCCTGGGAAATGCATTCTGGCTGGTGCATGCAGTATATGTGGACTGGGGGAATTATAGGAGATGAAGCTAAATAGGTATGTTAGGACCAGCGTGTAAACTGGATGGTAAACTTGAACTTGATTGTATAGGGAGCAGTGGTTGTGGAAGTTCTAAGCAGGGAAATAATATGGTCACGTTTGTTTTTAGAACCATACCCTGAAAATTATGTGGAGACTGATCTCTGAAGAAACTGGTGTTAGCGAAACTTATTTGGAACTGTTGTATTTGACCAAGGGGCCACTGTGGCATTGGCCATCTGAAAGTGGGCCAGGACCCAGAGATACAGAGATGCTTGAGGGATTGATAGGAATTTTGGGACAGCAAATGTGGTAAAGGAAAGAGGATGGATCCAGTTTTTGACTGGGGTTATTTGGGGGAGGGGTGATGGAGGTATTATAAATGAATATAGGAAGAGAAGTAGGTTGATTGAGGGCAAAGATGTGGAGGAGGGAGGTAAAATAGTATTTAGAGTACCCTTTGAGTGTTTTTGAGTGTTAGGTAATATTCTGGGTACTTTCAATAAAGCATTATTTTTACTATATCCCTATGAGTCAAGTATAGTATCTTTACAGAAGAGGAAGCTGAGGCTCAGAGAAGTCGTGTGACTTAATTACCTTACTTAATTACCTCAGAGAAGTTGAATTAAGTTCGGGATTAAGAAAAATGGGTAATGATACTTTTGATAAATTCTAGGTATAATGCTTGTTTTTGCCCAACAACTATTTTGGTTTCATATGTCTTTATTCACATTTTATTTTCTCAGCCATCATAGAGGAGTACGAACAATGGCTGATAACAGTGTATTAACATCCACAACTGGGAGGACAAGCTTGGCGGACTCTTCCGTTTTTGATTCTAAAGTTACTGAAACTTCTAAGGAAGACTTATTTATTGGACCTACTTCCTATGTTGAAGGTAAACATGTTATCTGCTTTAAAATACCAAGTCACTGTTTTAATCCTAAACTTTCTGATCAGTGACTTTCTTATGATTTAACTGTAATACTGTTCAGCTAGAGTACAGGTACTGAGTAAATATTTGTTAACAGAAACTCTTTACACTAGGTTTTTTATTATTGTTTGGATAAATGCTTCCCAGCTTTAGAGGGGAAGGTATCTTGTTGTTGGATATTGCTTTTCTGTATGTGAGGGCCATCCAGCTGCGACACTGCTAGCTAGAATATGTTCAGTTATGACTGGTCGGGTGAAGAGCTACTTCTTCCCTTCCTACTGTGGAAATGGATCTTTCCTAAAGTTCCATGCCCTGTTGAAGAGGGTGACTACGCAAGATGGTGAATGCTTTCTTTGGTTAGGAGGAGTGCTGTTGCTTGTATACTTTGCTACAGTGCGTTTTCTCTTCTAAAATGACACATGGTCGAATTTTAAAAATAAGCTTGGAATTAAGTCATTTTAATTTCAGGGAATGTTATATCTCAAAGTTGGAAAACATTCCAGATATAGCCAGAAAAGGGGTTAAGAACTGCTGATTTTGGTGTTCGTGACTAATACAAATGTTTTATTTAACATTTTTAATTTTAATAGAAGAAATGCCTCAGGTTGAAACAAGAGTGATACTGGTTCAAGAAGCTGGAAAACAGGAAGAACTTATAAAAGCCTTAAAGGTATGGAGTTTTAGTTTTGAGTTTTTCTTTAAAAAGGCTATTTTTCTTCCATCAGTGTGTAAATAATTTTATAGTGTTCTTAATCTCACACCTAAGTCTCTTTCCACAGACTATTAAAATAATGGAAGTCCCTGTTATAAAGATAAAAGAAAGTTGTCCTGGAAAATCGGATGAAAAATTAATAAAAAGTATTGTTAATATGGTAGGTCAAGCATTTCATTGCATGTGGCATGCTGCACTTCCTTTGATTTATTCATATATTCCACTTGTGGTGATTGGACCTAAATTAGGTACAAGGTATACTTTGAGCACTCTGAAACTAGATCAATAGAAACTATTTTATATTAATTTTTAAAATCTGGGTATTTCTGAAACCCCAAACTGTAATATATTGTAAATAATGAAATCCTTGTAAAGTAATTTGGCATTATTAAATTTAAGTGACATTCTATGTGTTTAGGGAGATCTGGTACTTTTCTTGAAACTCTTTAGTTTCTTTTTTCTCAATGTTTATATTTATTCTAAATTCTTGCTTTATTTTCAGAATTACAAATCACAATAATTGAGTCATGAGAGAATTTGTCAGCATATAAAATATATCTGATTCTCTATATCAGCTTTATTAGCTTGTGAGAGGGCTGCCATAACAAAATACTACGGACTGACTGGCTTAAACAACAGAAATATATTTTCTCACTTTGCTGGAGGCTAAAGTCCAAGACCAAGGTGTCAGCCCCTTAAACTTCTCTTGAGGCCTCCTTCACTGACTTGAAGATGTCTGCCACCTTCTTGCTGTATCTTCACATGACCCATCTTCTGTGCATGCATGTCTTTGGTGCTCTTCTGTGTATCCAAATTTTCTGCTCTTAAAAGGACACCAGTCAGATTGGATTAGGGTCCGCCCATGTGACCTCATTTAACTTTACCTCTTGAGAGGCCCTATCTCCAAATGTAGTCACATTCTGAGGTACAGGGACGTTAACGACTTCAACGTGAATTTTGGGAATACACAATTCAGCCCTCCACATTAGCCTAGTAGATAAAACCCAAATAATTTACTGACCCATCTGAATTTTCTTTTAAATTGTTCTTTCCTTTTTATGCAAGAGTCATAAATATTTAAATATCTTCATTCTGTTTTGTATATGGACAGTACAAAGTGTTAAACAGTAACTTGCCTTTTTATATCCTGTTTGCCATGCTGCATCTGCCTACATATTTTGTATCTTTCTCTTATTTCCCTCATATCTAGTGAAATGATTAACTCCATCCTTTTTGTAGATGTTACATGCCATAGTATTTTTTCTATTTTTCTGAAGATAATTTGTGCAGGAAGAACCATATGTATGGCATCATTTTCTTGGTCAGAATAAAAAGCAACAGTGGTTATCTTTCTAATGTAGTCTATTAAAATTGGTGTACTTAAACAATTCATCATTCTTACTTTATATGCATACTAGATGATTTATAATGACTACCAAGTCATGTCAAAACTTACGTCTTTAAAATAATTATCTTCAGAATTTAAGATCTTGATGTGGTTGGAGATACGTTTATATGAAAACAAATAAGTAAAGAAATATGACTTCACTATTAAGTACAGTGCTCATTGTATGATTTAAAACTTAAGTTTCTACAAATATAAAAATGAGAATGTTGATACTGAATTGATTTTTAGGTCTTATTTAGAGAGATACATAATTTTATAATGTAAATTTTATTTCTTATAACTATGAAAAAAACAAGGAAATTAAAGTGCCATTTGTAAAGATGGAATCAATTGAAGAATTTAAAAGTTTGGATTCTCCAGAATTTGAAAATGTATTCATAGTCATGGACTTCGAGGATTCTGTCTTTAATGAGTTATACAAGACTGATTGTAGAGTTATTGGACCACCAGTAGTATTAAACTGTGCCCAGAAAGGAGAGGTAAGAAAGAAGATATGCTTACTATGACTTTTCAAGGTTAAATTTGTAATGAATTTTTATGCAGAAAAATCCTGTTAACTATTGAGAGTGTACATACACAAACTTTAATTTTCTTCCACACAGCAGATATCACAATTCCACTTTTATCAGTTACTGCATAATTTAAAATTAGAGAAATTATTTCAGCTTTTTGTTTTTAAATAGCATTTCAGTGTAAGAGTTGTAGTAGAGTTAATCCCTATTCTTTGGTTTCATTACTTTGTTTTGACATTCTTAAGCTTGCTTTATTAACTTAAAATTGCTTGGATTGTTGTGCTTCTTTTGTTATAGATACTAGTAATGAGCACATGATAATCTTTAATTTTCTGTTCAGAAGTGTTGCTTTCAAAAACCAAATAAACTTTTTATAGGCCAAAATTATGAAAAAGAATATTCTTGCATAATAGTGGGAGTTAAATATATATCTACTATATTTTTTAACAATTCTCTTTCATATATGTGTAGACAGATAAAACCATTTGTAAAATTATTTAGTGACTATCTCCATTTTTTTAGCTCACAAATTGGAATCTTATTTGGTTCCATATATGTATTATTCATATTTATTAGAAAATATCTTTGATCTCTTTTAATTTTAAGCATTTACAATAATGTATGGAAGTCTTTCCTTATAGACAATACTTTATATGTGTCAGAGTACATTCTGGGACTAAAGGTTTGGATATAAATATGTTTTATTTGCCAATAGTGAAGTGTGTTTAGGTTGTGTGTATCAAATACGATTTGGGAGTCATGGGAAATTTTTTATTGTGAAACTGATTTTTCACTTTTTTTGTTGCATTTTGAAAGATGCAAGTATATATTTGGATTGGGAAAGTTGGCAAGAGGGGCAAATATGTTTAGCTTGAGAAAGATGTGTTCTGTTTTTACTATAAAAAGATCTCACAGGTTTAAAATTGTTGTGTCCTTCAGCCTTTGCCATTTGCATGTCGCCCACTCTATTGTGCAAGCATGATGAATCTAGTACTATGTTTTACTGGATTCAGGAAGAAAGAAGAACTAGTAAGTATTTTAAAATATTCTATTCAAAGAATATTTTTTCCTAGCAAAATAAATTTACATTAGCTTTTTTTTGTGTGTAATTATATCATGGTTTTATATTAAAAATATTGAAGGAGAAATAACTATGAATATACCAGGTCTTAAATTTTGTGACGAAACACTCTGAAGAACCTTGTAAAGAGACAAGTATTTTGTCTAGGATGGCTGATATGTGAATTAGAATTATTTCATGATTATCTAGTCTGTTTAAACTGTCTTTTTGTTAAGTATCATATCAGCCATGTTATTTGAAGGTTTTATTTACACGTTGCAGTTTTTTATTATACAGGCCCAGCCTTAAAGCATTCTCAGTGTTCTAGAGAATTTCATAGAAACTTCATTCTTTAATCAATAAAATTTTTCATGTTGGAGCTAATGGAGTATTATTGTAATTTTGTGGGAAGAATCTTGGTGTGATGTAACCTGGTATTAAAAAGTAATATATTTAGGCCATATGAAAGCCAGTTCTTAACTTAGTTTTGTGTGATCATCTTTTCTGGCATATCTCTCTGTGCCAGTAAATGAAATGAATATTTAATTTTTTTTGGCATAAAGTTTATATTTTTATAAAATTCTTGTAAGTACCTTATAAATAGAAAGTATTCAGTAAATGCTAAATGAATTGTAAGCATAGTTTAAAATTTTGTTCAAGTTAGTCATAAAGTCACTGTTGTTTACTTTTTTCTTTTGAGGTCAGATTGGTGACATTGGTTCATCACATGGGTGGAGTTATTCGAAAAGACTTTAATTCAAAAGTTACACATTTGGTGGCAAATTGTACACAAGGAGAAAAATTCAGGGTATGTAAACTTTGGTATTTTTGTGTTATTTCAATATAGTATTACTGGGGTATGGATTTAATAATAGTGCTCTTACCTATCTATTCTGCAGTTTATTGAGGATCAGAAATTCAATTTTTGCTGTATGTACATGTAATAAAAATTTTAAATCATAGGAGTGTGGTCCCTTAGGAGGCAGTGGAACTTGAGTTAGTTATTGAAAGATGAGTAAGATTGTGGAGGCTGGTAGGTGGATAGCATTTTAGGCAGATGAATAATATTAGCAAAGATTACTGTATGAGCATTGGTGAATAAGGGGGTCAGAAGGTGATGAGAGCAGATATTTCTCTCCTATATAAGTGGTCTTTATAAAAAGAGAACTATGATCTTATAAAATGGTTCTAGAATTTAACTTGTGAAAATTATCGAAGAACAGGAGAAAGTACTTTTCATTACGATTAAAATTTTAGTTTAAAATTACACTTGAGTATATTAGGAAGAGTTTATCACTTTGTTCCCACCCTCCACCAGTGTCCTTATGTAGCAAATGGTAATTTTTGGATAATGTTGAATTCCTGGAAAATATACTTAAAATTCACATCTAAGGTTTTAGTGATTTAATTATGTTTTCTCTTAGTCTTGTCTTAGGGGTTAGTACTTCCAAGGAGGTAAGCGCAAAGAGAAATAGAAATATAATAACAATGAACTTAATCAGCTTCAGAGATGTGTTTATTAAAAAAAAAGTGAAATGGTTTGGGCATCATCAAACTTACTTCAAAGTTATTTTAACCCAGATTGTATGATGGAAAGACCATTCTTTTTCTGTTAATTGTTCTTTATATTTTGTTATAAAGCAGATGAATAATGATCTAAGACTGTGGGGAAAAAAGTATGTATAATTGCTTCTAATGTCCATGGATGCATTTACTTAAGGTAAAAATTTATTGTGATTCATGTTTATATTTTTAGATAGCTGTGAGCTTGGGTACTCCAATTATGAAGCCAGAGTGGATTTATAAAGCTTGGGAAAGGCGGAATGAACAGTAAGTGTTTAGAAATTCAGTCATTAATTATGTAAATTAATCGTATTTATGTTATGTGTTATAAAGATAAACCCATGTGCTCAAAATTCATAGATAATATATAAAAAATTAATCCAGTCTTTGTGTAGCTTAGGGGATAAAGTCTAGCAAGAGCAAAGTTATATAAAAAAATTTTAAAAAACTGAAAATAGAAAGACACTTATGGTATTGTTAGACTTTGCGAAATAATTTTGATTATTAAAAACATTCTAAAATTATTAGGTAATAGCGTAATAATGCATCTGGATGTTTGGGTTGTGCTATATTTTTTCTTATTTTATGTTTGGTTACATTTTAAGTATTAATTGCATTCCAATCTCATAATTCCTTGCTCTTGTATTTCATTACTACTTAACATTTCATGAAACTATAGAATCCCTTGAATATATATAAAGTTTCATGTACAGAGCAGGGATTTGGGTTTTATAAAGATTACCCATGATTAAACTTTGTCAGAAGTTACTTATGCGATGACTGAGGACACACCAGTTTTTTTTAACTGAAGTTTTTATGAGTATTTCAGGACCAAATGCAAAATATTTGCAGTAAATGGATTATGCTAAAACCTTGAAAATTACTGTAGATTTGTAAATTGATACATCTAAATTATTGAATTTAAGTCAAGCTGGTTTTAGAAGAATGTATTTTGTTTTTAGGGATTTCTGTGCATCAGTTGATGACTTTAGAAATGAATTTAAAGTTCCTCCATTTCAAGATTGTATTTTAAGTTTCTTGGGATTTTCAGATGAAGAGAAGACCAATATGGAAGAAATGACTGAAATGCAAGGTAGATTTAGCATAATTTAAAGGTTATATATATTTTGTTCCCCACTCCTGCTTGATTACTTCCTGCTGAATATGCCTCTTTAAAAATTTGAGCCTGGAGATAAATAGTTGGGCTTACTTATGCTTCTATGCATTCCTCTTTAGGAGGTAAGCATTTACCAGTTGGAGATGAAAGATGCACTCATCTTATAGTTGAAGAGAGTATAGTAAAAGAACTTCCATTTGAACCTTCGAAGAAGCTTTATGTTGTCAAGCAAGAGGCGAGTAATTCTAGAATGAGATTGTTTTTTAAAAAATATTACTAATTGTTTTTCTGATGAGGTAAATTGTTAATTGAAATATTCTTTTCTTTCCTCTAGTGGTTCTGGGGAAGCATTCAAATGGATGCCCGAGCTGGAGAGACTATGTATTTATATGAAAAGGTATGCTTTGTGTCTCTTAGTCACTTGTTTTGTGAACTTACTTGTATAAAGATGACACTTTCTGTCCCAAAAGAGCATAGTTTAAATAGCATTTGGATCATCTTTTATGTCATGTTTAGGAGGTTCAGAATAATTAAACACTTGGATACTGAGTAATAGTCTTAGTCTATAGAGATTTAATGTATTGAATATTATTTTAATCTAATGTATGTCATTCTGTGCTAATTCTTGGTGAAACCATTAAGAATAATTACATCTCTGTCTTCAAACAGTTAGAACCTTATAGGAAAGAGAGATATGCAGACAGTTAACAGTGCAGGGTGAAATGTGCTATAACTAAGTAATGTATGTGTTGTAACTTAGTTTCACTATGAGGGACTCAGGCAGAATTGGAAAGAGCAAATAAATGTGGAAGTTGAGCCAACTTCCTAGGCTAACCTGGTAAAGGCATTCAAGTTGAAGAGCAAGTGAGAGAGGGCATGAAAGGTTGAAAGTACACTAAAATTGCAAGTAGTTTAGTATGGCTTTAGAAAAGAGTATGGGAAAGAAGGCCAATAGATAAAGCTGACTAGGTAGGCAGAATCAATCTTCTAATATGTTAAAAGAATTTAGATTTATCCTGTAAGTTTTGGAAGCCATTGAAGAATATTAAGGGGGGGTGTCATTGCAAAAAATGATTGTAGTAGAAGGAATATAAACAAGGAAAATCGAGCCTTCATGCTGGATCTTGGTGAAGAGTGGTATCATTAACTAAAATGTGACATCAAAGTATAGAAGCAGCTGTCTTTAAGGGAAGATTTACTTCAGTTTGGGATTTAATAATTTTGAATGGAACAGTGAAGGCGAGGTGTGGATTTATTGTGTTTCTATAAAATCTAAATATGTACTCTGTTGTGTACTCTGGACTCTTTCATCCTCAATGTAAAGTTCTTAACATAAAATTTTAAAAATATGCCTTAGAGTTCAGGAGGGTGCTCTTAAAATCAAGTGGTGTTTGAACAGTACTGGAGAGCATTATGTCCAGGCATAGTGCTAAATGCCACGGATATAGTGAACAAAATATTAATGGTCCCTGCCCTCCTAGAGTTTATGGCCTAATGGGGAGTAGACAGTAAACAAGCTTATAGATGAATATGTAATGGTAAAAGTGCTATGGAGAAAAAAAATTAGGTGTTTGGGGTTAGACAGTTACAATGGTCTTTTGTCTGTTATATTTTATGAAGCTTCTGAATTACCTGGAAGAATATATAGTTGTAAAATTACTGTGCAAAATTCAGATTTTGTTAGACTCATAAATATATTTTTCTTTTGTCCCTGTCTCAGTAAAGAATCATGGAAGTTAAATTGAGCTTTTGTGCTTTTGATTGCAGGCTAATACACCTGAGCTCAAGAAATCAGTGTCACTGCTTTCTCTAAATACCCCAAACAGCAATCGCAAAAGACGTCGTTTAAAAGAGACACTTGCTCAACTTTCAAGAGATACAGACATATCACCTTTTCCTCCCCGTAAGCGCCCATCAGCTGAACATTCCCTTTCTATAGGGTCACTTCTAGATATCTCCAACACGCCAGAATCTAGCATTAATTATGGAGGTAATTCACATTTTAAAAAATTGATCTTTAGAATTTAATGGAATGGAATATGCATTAGAATATCAATAAATCCCTACTGCAGTGAATGTAAGACTGTTTTTAATCACCTTTGTTCTAGCTGAGGAGAAAAGGCACATGAAAATGTTTCCATTTAATGATTGCTTGCTATATGCTAAGTGTTTACATATTTTGTGTATTTGTAAGATAGGTTTTATTGCCTCTATTTTACAGATGACTAGACTGAGGTTAGAGAAGTAAAAACTTCTCTAGGGTCACACATCTAGAAAGTGGCAGAGCTATTCAAAGAGCAAATTCTTGATACAAAAGAATCACAGATGTCATGAGTTATGGAAAAAAATCGGTATAATGAAGTCAGAGGAAGGTGAATTTACTTTCTCAGCTGATACAGGAAGGCACCTACAATTAACTCTTCTCCCTTAATCATCAATTTTCCCTCTATTTTTGTTTTTCATTCTGCACACACATACGTTGTGTTGTCTAGTTTATGAAACAATCAGAGCCTTCCCTTGACCCCATGACACTCTCCACTTGTTATCCCATTTCTCTCTTCCCTGTCACATAAGTACTCTTCAAAGAATTACCTTGATCCATTGTCTCATTTCCTTGCTTTTCATTGTCTTTTCAGTCTATTCCAGTTGAACTTTAGCCCCTACTACATGAAATTGCTCTTGCTGGGGAGACTGACAGTTTTTATGCAAAAACAGCATTCAACATGAGCAGCTAGCTCTTTCTTGGACACGTTTTTTTATTTTGGCTTTTGTACATTACTCATTTCTCATTCTCCTTGACCTAACTTCTCTCTCCAGCTGTAAATGTGGAATGTTACTTCTGAGTCATTTCTTCTCTATTGAATTCTTCCTAAACGATCTCTTATGATTCCGTGGCTTCTGTATACATAGATGACTCCCAAATTTGAGGTTTTCCCTGTCCAACTTTATACTTGACACCTCCTTGTTCATGTCTAATACACATCCTAAACTTAAGATAATCAAATTAAAACTCTTGTTTCTATCACTCCCAACTCTATTCCTTTGCCACTCTTCCTTAATCAGGCTTTTCTGTAAAAAGAATCTCTTAGACAATTGTAATGGTCCCGTAAATGGTCTCCCTATATTCATTTTTGCCTTTCTACATGCGGCACTTAGAGAGGTCTCTAAAAACATATAAATTAGTTCATGACGTTCCTCTGCATAAAGTCATTCAGTGGCTTTGTATTACCATAGCTTTCAAGTTCGTATGTAATTCTTCGTCAACTACTGCTAACCTCATGTGATGTTGTCTTCCAGTAATGCTCTGTGAGTGTCAACCACAGTATCTTTGTTGTTCTTCATGTTTTTCTTCTACAGAACCTTATACTTGCTCTCTCTGTCTTAAAGAAATCTTATGGGTTCTCTGTAAAGTCAAGTCCCTGACCCACCACTCTTTCCTACCAACCCATTACCTGGTAGTTGTCTTCAGTAGTAGTTATCAATGTTAGAAATGGTTTGTTTACTCATTTATTTTATTTGCTTCACCAGAATGTAAGCTTGAAGAGAACAGGAGCATTGTCTGTGTTATCTCTGCTTTATCCCCAGTGCCTAGTATAGAGTAGGTACTCATTAAATATTCATGGAAGGAATTGAAAGTCCATTTAAGGTAGGCCCAGAAAGCTGAGGTGGATTTGAGATGATAAGAGGAGCAAGAATACAGATAACAGTATAAAGATTGAGTTGTTAGGGAATAGTGAGTAGGTCAGTTTGCTTGAACTATGGTGGGACAGTAATAGTCAAATTAGAACAGTTAATTGGGGACTAATATTAGAGGGCTTTGAAATCATACTGGCATATCTGAACTGTATATTGCCATCAGCAGGGAACTTCAGAAACTTGAGCAGCAGAGTAATTCATTAAGTAATTTGTACTGTATTAATTCTGAAGAATGATTAGAAGTAAGGCAGTTTAGAAATAGCCTGACCATGAAGTACTCTATAGTGGCTTTGTCCACAAGGTAATAAGGCCCTAGACCTGGGTTGATGATGTTTGGAAAGAAAAGTAAGAAGCACTGGGGAAATAATGATAGAACGGAGTGATAGAAAGGGAGTAAGAGGAGATGATGGCAAAGTATTAAATAGAGGAAATGCTACCTTAGCAAAAATAGAAAGTTTATATTTTGGAGGAAGATAGTACAGTTTTAGAGAAAATCCAGGTTAAATTGAGGTAGAAATGTCCAGTAGGCATTAGGAAAAGCTGAACCAGGTGCTTGGGTGGGGAGGTTATGATTAAATAGTAGATCTGAGAATTTACATTTTTTGTGATGATGATGGAGATAATGGGCATGAGATGATAAGAGGTCATGATCATAAAGGACAAAGCTTGGATGTGAAGTTGAGGGGAGAGAAGAAAATGTATCACTTAAGAAAACAGACATGACAACTATACTCATACATGAGATATTCTGTATGGTAGAATTCCCAGTTTGTAGATCACTGCCTAGATAATAATTAATAATTTAATTAGATCAGTTTAGTCAGTTTTTTACCCTAACGTATCTTGTAATGGCAGAGACTCCTGGGTCTGGTGAAAGTAGCCTGAAATAATGTGTGGTGTGTGGGAAATTCTTTGAAGTCTTTTTTCTTTTTAAAACATTCAAAACTCTACAGTACACGTGGTTGTTTTACTAATGCTTAAGCTTATTTGTCACTGAGTAAAACTGGTATGCTGGGACTATATATTATCTTTTTTCATGTCATTCTATTGTATGTTATACATTCCTTTTTCTATTGAGAAACTTGCTATTAGGTATGAGGTATTCTTACCTAATTGTTAGTAAGGAAATGTATTTTAAGCTGTTATGAAATTTCATTTAAAATTTTTTCTTGAAATATATATAAATATACTAATACATCCTCCCTGCACTTTGGATTAGACTGGGTGTTTTCTATAAAGATACCTAGAACTAACAGAGAATTTGCAGGTAATGTTTTTTTTTTTCTTTTTCTTTTTCTTTTGAGGGAGACTCCCTCTCTCTCTCTACATATATATATATATATGAAAATTTTTCCATTATTGTAATTGTGTAATCATAACAACTTTTCCCTCCTTTTTTAGCTTAAATATTTTTCTATGATGCCTATTGTGCTTTTTAGTAAAAGAGAAAAGTTCTTTTTTCTGGCCTAGAGTGCAATTCAGTGTCACACACTGTTATGTTATCTCTCTCTAGTCTCTTCTTACCTGAAACAGTTCTTTTTTCAATATTTCTTCGTTTTTAATGACTATGACATTTTTGAAGAGTACATGATTATTATTTTTTTCTGGCCTTTTCTGTGAGGAAGTTCTACTTTAATGAAAATTTGTATGATGATATATTTGTAAGAGTAGATATCCTTCCCTTTTTTCTGTTAAACCTGTAGTGTTATACCTGACTTCCATTTTAAATCTTTCTTCCTTTTTATCTTTTAGAAACACCAAAGTCTTGTACTAAGTCTTCTAAAAATTCCACTCCAGTTCCTTCAAAGCAGTCAGCCAGGTGGCAAGTTGCAAAAGAGCTCTATCAGACTGAAAGTAATTATGTAAATATATTGGCTACAATTATTCAGGTAAGACTTTGGTTGCAAAATGATCTGTTTTCCAGTGTTCATAAGTAAAAAATCTGAGGTTTTTTTTTAAATAAGAAAATTATATAAGCATAGAAATGGAACACAGATATTAAAAATGAAAATGTATAATAAAAACTGCTGTTAGGGAAATACCATAATGGTAATAGTAGCTTTTATTCATGCAGAAATAGCATGATTTTTTAAATAGTGACTTTAAAGAAAGAAAGATCCTCGGTAGAGGATCTTAGAGGGGACTGAGTTTAATTCAGAATTTTGCATGTTTCATATCAAGATACTGCATTTATATATGAAAGTGGTAGATAACTTTTCATGAAAGTATGTGTTCTAGAGTCTAGAGTTCTAGAGTTAGTACTGTATATACATGAAAAAGCAAGTAGCAATGAAGCATAACAATATGGATGTCAGTAATTTTTTTTTAGTAATCCTTTCATGTGTCAAGTTTTCTTAAAGTATGCAGTAGTCATAAATGTTCACTCATTGCTTACTAATATTAAAATGTACTATGAAAAGTTATTTCTGAGGAAAAACAATTCTAGTGAATCCTTGTAGGATAAGATTAAAGAAGATAATAAGGAATAAATCAAAATTCAAGGTTCTGAAAGACATAATAATAGGAGCATTATTTTGGAATTTGTAGGAAGAAGGAATAAATTGTTCTAGGTAATGAAGGAGATAGATTGTCAGGAAAATAAAGTTGATACCACCAAGCTTGTTTTTGAATAGAAAAAGGATTGGGAGATTCTGATTGGGGTTTAATTTTTAACTGACCTCTTTTTGAATTCTTAATATAGCTCATTTGGGTCCAATGTAATAGCCTTTAGTTGCTTGTACCCTTGATAAAATACATAAATAAGAAATGGAAAGATTTCTTTCTTGGTAGTCACGGAGTGGTTATTCTTCACAGTTAATTTGTTTAGCAATAGTCAAGGTTTTATGAGGCCCTCTGCTGTATTAAACTTTACTTGTTTTAAGTCAACTCTGCTCTTCTTCCTCAAGGGGAATCATCCTACAAGAGTTTCTTGTTGAAGTTTTTATTGTCAGCCAAAATGTGGCTGAGTAGCAGAAAATCCCTTTGGCATATACTGTTTATGTGCTTTGGTAGCATTTATTACCTAGAAATGAAAATCTTTGTAGGCCATAGTAATGCATTGGAGTTTTAGAATTTTAATGTGCATATCAATTAAATTCACTAAAACTTCTTTTTAAAAAGCACTTGTAATTATTACACTGTAGACAAAGTTTCATACCACTGTGCATAGTAAAAACTCACCTAAGTTTACTTAAAATATTATGGTCTATTTTGTAAATAAGTTCAAAATACCTAATCTTTATTAAAAAAATATTTTGGTATAAATTCATGATAGTGTTTTCTTTAGGGCTAATGTGTCCTTTTTTTTTCTTTTTTTGACTTGAAATAATTTGATTTTAACTTAGCTCCCAAATTAAGACAATATCCAGTAGTGACTTTATTTATTCTATGTAATACTTAGGTGCCTACTAATATAAAGTATTGTTCCAGGTGTTAAAGAGGATTCATATTTTAAAGGAGCTTAGACTGGAAGAGGAGATAAAACATACACACTTAAATATTAATACGAAGTGGAAAGTTAGGAGCATCACGAGGGAGGTTTAGTTAAGGTATTTGGAGATTTGTATGGTGAGAATTTTGCTTTTCTTCCAGCTTAGGCAAGGTGTTGGGCTAGAATTTTCAGTGGGTTCAACACTGAAAAAGTATCACGGAAAAAGAAGGTAAAAATTGAAGTGAGTTTTAAAGCATGATTATGATCAGTGCATGCAAAGAATATGAGTGGGAAGTGTATTTGAGATTATTCCAACAATACAAACAATGGAAGATATGTATCATTTAAGGTATTACAGAGTAGTCTAGGGGGATTAGACTTCTGTGTGGGTGAGTTAAGGAGACAAGGCGAGGGGTTGAGTTACGGATACGGTGAGAGTTGAGATAAGACTGCCTATGTTAGACTGGAGAAGGCCTTTGTACAGTGTGCTGTGTAACTATAGAAGAATTTTTGATGGGAAGGGAAAGATGCTGTCTGACTTGTATTTTAGAAAGTCACTTGTCTCACTGAAGGAGATACTGAGGAAGGGGAAATTGTGGAGGCAAGAAGGTTAATTTGTTATTTCAGCAGTCTTGGTTTGGGATTTTGAGAACCTGAACTTCTTAGGATAGTCTCAGTGGAAATGAAAAGAGGATAGATTTGAGAAATGTTGAAACGGTAGAATCAATAGTTTCTGGCTAATTTTATTTGGGAAATTAAAGCAAACATAGTAGAACTGTTTTAGATGGTGTGTCTTCAGACTGCTGAGAGGTTTTAATGAATCTTGATGTATTTTGGTTGTCTGAATATTTTGTTTAGGATTTTAGGATTTTCAAATGTTGACTAGATAAACGAATGCTTATAAATGGTTCCAGATATCTTTGAAATCTCTGTTGTGTTTTTTCCCATTCGCATTCCTTTACCCCTCCTCAGATATTATCATTATCTAGCGTTTTGTGCTTATCATTTTTCTTATAGATCTATCACATGTGTAGAAAATCAAACTATGTAAATGTAACAGTATTTATATATTTTCTACTGTTGCTTTTTTGTTTAATAGAAATGTTCTTGGGATGCATCTGTGTCATTGCACATAGCAGTAATTCATTTTCCTTTATGAATATGTCAGCTTATTTAACTTATTTTTAATAGACATTGAATTTAAGTTTTAGTGTTTTGTTGCTGGTTTTTTTTTTGTTTTCTTTTGTTTTGTTTTGTTTTTTAACTATTACTAAAGTAGTGCTGCTGTGAATATTCTTATTCATTGCTCCTTAAGAAAATATTCTGGGCAAAATCCTGGAATTTCTGGGTCATAGGTTAAATGCACTTTTAAGTTTACTGGAAGTTGTTAGTATGTTGAAAACTAGCTTTTGTGTTGGTCTTCTTACCCACTGAGGCTTTTGTAGGTGAAAATTAGCTTATATTGGTTTAGGCAAATGTCTTTGGGACAAAAGTTGGTTTTAGTACTCTACTTTACTTTGACTTAGATTTTGACCTTACTTTCTTGTCACCTTGTTGTTGTACTTAGAATGAGGTTTTTCTTCAGTATTTTAATTGTTTTCAGCAGGTAAAGTTCACTATACTTGAAGAAATGGAAGGCCTAAATATATATGTATTTTGGGATGGATGGAGATAAACAAGTCTAGAATTGTAGTCGTTCTTAGAAATAGGAACAGTTCATAATCTTAACATAGTTTCTTGCTATTTATAATGTAATTTTTTTATCTTTTTCTTTTTTTCCTCTTCCGTTCATTCCCTCTTGTCCTTTGTGCTATTGTTACTCGTTTTACTTCTGGATATGTTAAGAACCCAATAGTACATTATTATTTTTACTTTAGTCAAATAACTTTAGTCAGATAGTCAATTAACTATTTAAAATTTAAGTAAAATTTTTATCTTAAATTATACAGTTTTTACTTGTCTTTTTCTTTGATGTACATTTCTGTGAATTTTAACACATGTGAAAATTTGTATAACCACCACTACAATCAGGATATAAAACATTTCCATCTCCCCAAAAAACTCCTGGTACTGTTTTTATTTATGTCACACCCTTTTCTCCTTCCAACTCCTGGTAACCAATGATCTCTTCTCCATCACTATAATTTTGTCTTTGAAAATGTCATATAAATGGAATCATATAGTATATAACCTACTAAGCCTGGCTTCTTTCAGCCTTTGAGTTTCATCTAACTTGTGTGTATCAGTAGTTCGATCCTTTTTATTGCTGAGTAGTATGCCATTGTATGGATGTACCACAGTTATCTGTTCACTTATTAAAGGATATTTGAGTTGTTTCCAGTTTGAGTGGTTATGAATAGAGCTGTTACCAACATTTGTGTGTAAGTTTTAGGTGCATATGTTTGCATTTCTCTTTGGTAAACACCTAGGAGTAGGATTGTTGGATCATATGGTACGTAAGTTTGACTTTAAAAGAAACTGCCCAACATTTTTCCAAAGGGGCTACACAATTTTGCACTTCCACCAGCAATATGTGAGAGTTCCAGCTGCTCATGTCCTCACCATTGCTTAGCAGTATTTTTAGCCTTTCAAATAGGTAGGTAGTTGTATCTCAATGTGGCTTTAATTTACATTTCCAAAATGACTAATGATATTAAATATCTATTCTTGTTCTTATTTGACATTTGTGTATCTTTTTTATTGGATTAACTATTCAAGATTTTGCCTATTTTTAATTGGGTTGTTTCTTTCCTGACTTTTGAGAATTCTTTATATATTTTAGATACTAGTCCTTTGTCAGATAGGTGATTTGCAAATATTTTTTCCTAGTCTATAGCCTGTATTCTCATGTCTTCTGATAAATTCATCAAAATTGAACACATTTTTATCATTTTTTTGCCTTATATATCATGCTTTTGATTTCATATTTAAACACTCTTTACCCAAGTCACAAGATTTTCTCCTAGGTTTTCCAAATATTTCATAGTTTTAGGTTTTTCCTTTAGGTCTGTGATCCATTTTGAGTTAATTTTTGTATAAGGGTTATATTTAGGCTGAGGTTCATTTTTTTGCTGATGGCAAGTGGTGTTTTAGTGCTATTTGTTGGACAGCTAGCTATTTTCCGGTGAATTGCTTTTGCACCTTTGTCAAAAATTACTTGCATGGGTTTGTTTCTAGACTCTATTCTGTTCTGTTGGTCTTGAATGTTTCTCTCTTTACCAGTACAACACAGTCTTGAGTACTTCAGCTTTATAGTAAGTTCTTTGCCTTTCTACATAAATTTTTAGAATAAGGTTTTCTTTAATCTACAAAAAGTCATGGCATTTTTCATACACATTGGGGTAGATTCATAAGTCTGTTTGGGGGGAGAATTGACATTTTTACTGTGTTGGCAATCCATGACCATATGTCTTATTTATTTAGGTCTTCTTTGATTTCTTTCATGAACATTCTGTAGTTTTCAGCATCATGTACGTGATTTATTATATTTATGCTTAAGTATTTTAATTTTTATTGTAAATGATACTGCTTATAGATTTTGGTTTCAATTTATACATTACTGGTACATAGAAATACAATTTTTGCAGTGTGCATGCATGTGTGTGTGCATGCATGCATGTGGGTGCTGACTTGGTATCCTTTGACCTTGCTAAATTCACTTACTAGTTGTAGGAGGTTTTTTCCCTTTTATTTTTTTAAGATTAATGCAAGTAGCAACATAGATACAAACAGATCTTCTGGTTTCAAATCCAGTCTTTTTCCCCTAAGCCAACTTTTTTGGCCACCATTTCAAAATATGTTACTTGTATGAAGTATATGTCTGGAAATAACTGATTGCTTATTGCTTTCTTCCTTAGTGACTTGAATAAAAAAATAGAAATTACTCTGTATCATACTAACAATTTTAATGATTTCTAGAACTGTATGATAAACTGTTTTTAGATTCTAACATAACATTTTATTATAAGAGTATATACATGCATACACAGATATATAGATAAGTAGGATAAAATAGAATAGAAAATGTTACGAGAAAAGATTTCAAATTTAGGGAGAGGTATTTTTTTTAATTACTCTTTTCTTTTTCATTAAATCTTAACTCTCCTTTATCACAGTCTGTTAGATTTAAAAGTTTTTTTTTCATTTTCCACAATCTACCTAAACTAGTCTTTTTTTTTTTTTTCTTTTAACTTTTTAGTTATTTCAAGTACCATTGGAAGAGGAAGGACAACGTGGTGGACCTATCCTTGCACCAGAAGAGATTAAGACTATTTTTGGTAGTATTCCAGATATCTTTGATGTGCACACTAAGATAAAGGTAAATTTGTATATGTTATGTTGGTGGTAATTCTTTTTTGATTGTGTATATTTATTATGATTTTTCAGATACTTCTGGTTAGCTAATTAAGTTTCATATTTAAAATTTCTTCATTATGCTGTACACCAGAAATTGACAATATTGTAAACCTACTATACTTCAATAAAAATATATATTTAAAAATTTTCTTATTCTTTCATTTATTCCCTTGAATTATTTTCCCTTTGCTCTAGTACCTTATTAATGTTTGTTGTTTGCCTGTTTTTTGATTTTGATTAATCTGAAAACAAGGAATTTAGACCTTATCAAGTCTTTTCTATAGAGACATGTAGTTGCTAGTACTATTTTTCTTTTTTTCCTGCTGTTTTTCCTCTTGGGTTATATATTTTTGTTTTGCTTTGATTTTTTTGAAAAACTATGAAGCTGGAAGGGACTTAGAGATCATTTCATTCATTTCTCTTTTCATACGTGGTCAGATAAATGCCGAAACCATATAAGAAAATGCTATCCTCTTTTTAATAATTTTCCTTTGATGAGGGGTCCATGATTTCCAGGTATCAGTCTCTCATAGTAAAGTAATTTTGGGGCAGGTTTCACATAACTCTTTAAAGTAGTTTAGTTTTATTTCCATTTGTTTTTCTTGTGTGGTGCCTGGTCAGAATTGATCAGTTTTCTTCTCAAAACAATCCATATTAATGGATATTATTCCATATTACAATAAAAAGATCAATCTGAATTACACAATGTTTTCAAACAAATACGTTCACTTTTGATTTTTATTGCACAGTATAGACAAAATATAAGATATGTAAGTTAATAAAAATGCAGTTTATCAAATGTTTATATTTTTTATTTTATCAAAATCCATGATTATATTTCACTTGTTTCTAAATTTACAAGTAATTTTGAAGGAATTTTTATTTTCTTAGCTATGGAACCTCAAACTAGTTTATACTTATTTCCAGTTAGGATTCTGAATATTTGAAGAGGAAAGTTTTCTTGGAATGATCTTTTTTTTCATAAGAAATACTAAGAGGCATAGAGGTAGAGTGGAAAGACAAGCAGGTTTTCATCTATGTGTTTACCCCGAATTTGTAGATCACTTTGTGTCAGTCATTTAGGCAGTCTGGGTGTGCAAGTTACCTTCCAGTATAAAATGTTAAGTGCTTTTTATGTGTATGGGATCATAATGTCAACTTAGAAGATCATGTTCTCTAGTTCACTGAAGCTTTTTAAAAAATAATTAATTTCTTATTGAATAAAGGAGTCTTTAAATTCTATACTGCTTTACAATTTTCAAAAGTTACACACATGATTTCATATAATCCCATAATAACCTTCCCCCACCTCCGCCTTTACATTGCCTTCCCCGCTTCCCTCTCCCCACTGGTAGTCATTGGTAGTTTGTTTTCTGTATATGTGAGTCTGCTTCTTTTTTTGTTTTATTCACTAGTGATTCACTGGAGCTTTGAAAATGATTATCACCCTTTAGTTTTCTAATGCATAACAAAAATTTTTAAGATTCTTCTATAAACTTGGATTACCGATATTTCAACTAGTAGTTATTTTCTGGCTGATTTCAGGTTTGTCATACATGTAAAAATTTTGAAGCCTGTAGGTTTTCTTTTTTTTCCTGCTGTGAAACCAATATGTGCTGTCAAACATTTATTTGTGAAATCAGGAGAAAGGGAAAAAAGTTGAAAATACCTATACTCTCATCACTGAAATACTCCTAAAATTCTGTTGTATTTTTTTCTTTTTTATCGATAGCATTTTTTTCTTTTCTTCTTTTAAATGTAATCCACTATCAATTACTCCCACATCTATTGAACACTACCAAGAAGATGAATATAATTGTCTGTATTTTATAGATGTGAAACCGCTACATACAGAGATTAAATGGTTTTTCTAAAGTCATTCATCTAATAAATGCTGGATACAGGATTTGAGTCCTTTTTTTGTCTAACTTCAGATTCTGTTCTCCTTAACCTTAATGTTGTCTTGCTTTCCCCCTCCCTTTTTTAATGAGATAAAATTGACAGGTAACATTGTATTAGTTGTAGGTGTACAAAATAATCGATACATGTATATATTTCAAAGTCACAATAAGTTTAGTTAACATCTACCTCCACACATAGTTAAAATTTTTCTTTTTTTGTGATGAGAATTTTTTAAGCTTACTCTCTTAGCAGCTTTCAAATATGTAACACAGTATTATTAACTATAGTCACCATGCTCTACATTATGTCCGTAGGGCTTACTTTTCTCTTAACAGGAAGTTTGTACCTTTTGACTGCCTTTATCCATTTTACCCATCTTCCTCCCCCATATCTCTGGCAACTACCAATCTGTTCTCTGTATCTATGAATTTGGGTTTTTTTTACATTCCACATATAAGTGAGATCATACAGTATTTGTCTTTCTCTGGATTATCTCACTTAGTATAAAGCCCTCAAGGTCTGTCCATATTGTCACAAATGTCAGGATTGCCTTCTTTTTTATGGCTGAATAATATTTCATTGTATAATACCACATTTGCTTTATCTATTCATCCATTCATGGACACTTGGGTTGTTTCCATGTCTTGGCTATTACTAATGCTATATTGCTTCTTGATGCTATGTATATAAATATATATATATACATATACATATATATTTTACTCAATTATAGTTGATTTACAATGTTGTGTTAGTTTCTGGTATACAGCAAAGTGATATATATCTATATATATCTAGATATATATAGATATAGATATATATTCTTTCTCAGATTCTTTTCCATTATAGGTTATTACAAGATATTGCATGTAGTTCCCTGTGCTATACACAGGGTCCTTGTTTATCTTTTTGTATATAGTAGTGTGTATATATTCCTAGTTTCTGTCTCCCCCTGCCCCTTTCCCCTTTGGTAACCATAAGCTTGTCTTCTATGTCTCTGAGTCTATTTCTGTTTTGTAAATAAGTTCATTTGTATCATTTTTTTTAGATAACACATATAAGTGATATCAAATGATACTTGTCTTCCTCTAACTTACATCCATGTTGTTATAAATGGCATTATTTCATTCTTTTTTGTGGCTGAGTAATATTCCATTGTATATACATACCACATCTTTACCCATTCATCTGTTGATGGACATTTAGGTTGTTTCCATATCTTGGCTATTGTAATAGTGCTGCTGTGAACACTGAGCTGCATGTATCTTTTTGGGTTTTCTCTGAATATATTCCCAAGAGTGGATCATATGGTAATATTATTTTTAGTTTTTTAAGGAACCTCCATACAGTTCTCCATAGTGGCTGCACCAGTTTACATTTCCATCAACAGTGAAGAAGTGTTCCTTTTTCTCCACACCCTCTATAGTGTTTATTATTTGTACACTTTTTAATGGTGTCTATTCTGACTGGTGTGGGGTGGTACCCTATTGTAGTTTTGATTTGCATTTCTCTGATAATTAGCAATATTGAGCATCTTTTCATGTGTCTGTTGGCTATCTGTATATCTTCTTGGAGAAATGCATTTAGGTCTTCTGCCCATGTTTGGATTGGGCTATTTGTGTATTTTTTTGGCTATTAAGTTATATGAGCTGTTTGTATATTTTGGAAATTAATCCCTTGTTGGTTGCATTGTTGACATATTTTTTCCCATTTTGTAAGTTATCTTTTTGTTTTGTCTGATTTCCTTTGCTATGCAAAAGCTTTTAAGTTTTGTTAGATCCCATTTGTTTATTTTTGTTTTTATTTCCATTTCTCTAGGAGACTGATCCAAAAAAATATTGCTGTGATTTATGTCAACATGTGTTTTGCCTATGTTTTCCTCTAGGAGTGTTAGAGTATCTCATCTTACATTTAGGTCTTTAATCCATTTAGAGCTTATTTTTATGTATGGTGTCTTTAATCCATTTAGAGCTTATTTTTATGTGTGGTGTTAGAAAGTGTTCTAATTTCTTTTGCAGGTAGCTATCCAGTTTTCCCAGCACCACTTACTGAAGAGACTGTCTTTTCTCCATTGTATATTCTTACCTCATTTGTCGTAGATTAATTGACTATAAGTGTGTGGGTTTATTTCTGGGCTTTCTGTCCTGTTCCACTGAGCTGTGTATCTGTTTTTGTGCCTAAAGATACTGCCAGAAAACTACTAGAGCTCGTCAATGAATTTGGTAAAGTTGTAGGATACAAAATTAATATACAGAAATCTGTTACATTTCTATACACTACCAAAGAAATATCAGAAAGAGAAATTAAGGAAACCATCTCATCGACCATTGCATCAAAAAGCATAACATATCTGGGAATAAATCTACCTAAGGAGTTAATTAAGAGACTTGTACTCCATAAACTATAAGATGCTGGTGAAAAAGTTGAAGACAACACAAACAGTTAGAAAAATAAACTGTGTTCTTGGATTGGAAGAATCAATATTGTTAAAATGACCATACTACCCAAGGCAGTCTACAGATTAAATGCAAGCCCTATCAAATTACTGCTTGCATTTTTCACAGAACTAGAACAAAAATGTTTTAAAAATTTGGATGGAGACACAAAAGACCCTGAGTAGCCAAAACAATATTGAGAAAACAGAACAGAGCTGGGGAAATCATACTCTTTGACTTTAGACTATACTACTAAGCTATAGTAATCAAAATAGTATGGTATTGACACAAAAACAGATATATTCTTTTAATATTTAGTGAATAATCTGTGTAAATGTGGCTTACATTTGTGCAGTTTTTCATACCATCTCATTAATACAGTATTCCGAAGAAGTACTGATGTCTGTTTTATAGCATTGCATAGTGGTTACAGATAAGGACTGTGCCCAGAGTAGATCTGGATTTGAAGTAAGGTAACCTTAAGTGCTTCAGTTTTTTTATCTATAAAGTGGTAATAGTAGTATCTGACTCATGGGTGGTTGTGAAATTTTTATTCTCAGTTTTTGCATGTTTATAAGTCACTGACCATAGTGCCTATCACTGAGCATTCAATAAATAACAATGGCAATTCATGTTAATAATAAACTAAATTCAGAAAGTAAGTAAACTAATGTTCAAAAGTTTTGTGAAGGATTAGAGTAGTTTTTTACCCACCATGTTTGCAACTACTGTCTGGCACTTAGATTTCTGTCAGTAAGTATTTGCTGAATAATGGTCATTCTACTTTTAAACGTCTGAATCAGGACTGGAACTCAGTGTATTTTCTCATCTTATATATTATGTGGACACCTTTGGTCTAATTCTTTATTTGCCTCCAACTTTTAGCATGCTAATATTTAAATTAAAATGAGAATTTTTGAGATTGATATGAACATCTTTTCCTACATGTGAATTTTTCCTTTTCGGAACTAATCAACATTAGTCCTTGATGTGCCACTGCCTGCTGTTTTTCGGAACTATGATGAAACAAGAGAGGGAGGGAGGGGTTGGAGGGAGTACATTTTCTTTCTGTGTTTATGGTTTGTTAATTTAGTGTAAGTCTCAAAGTACCTTGTACTTACTCAGGGAAAGGTGTATAGTGGGGAATCTGATACCTTGGTGTTCAGTGAGCTAAGTGAAAAAGAAACCCGTCTTGTATAAAAGTAGATGGTAACAGTACAAAAGAAATCTTAACCAGGAGGAAGGGAAGGAAGGAGCTTAGCTTTCTTACTCCAATCTGTTTACAACTTCCTTTACTTTTCTAATAGGCTTTGGGAGCTAGGCTCTATGTCTTAGAACTATAGAGTTCTCTTTTCTTATGGCCATGGCTGGGAGGTAAAGTTGAGAGCATCCTATGGAGAATTGTGTATGGATAAGAAGGAGACATGTGCCAGTGTCTGTCAACCATATTCCCATAGAAACATTGTAAGAAAATAGTGGCACTATGAATAACACTCTTGGAGGCTCGCCTCGCCTGCCAACCTGACTCTCCATTTCTAGTGGGTAGAAACTGTGGTATAGAGCAGGTAGAATGACATGGGATCTGAAGTCGGACAAGCCTGAGTATGAATAGCGGTTCATTTGGGGCAAATTTGCATGTGATTTGGGGCAAATTAAACTCTCTAAGCCTTAGTTCCTTTATTATTTAGTCCCTAAGCTAACGGTTGATTAAGACAGAAATCTTTATTTCATCAACAGGCACCAGGACTTAAAGGTTGACCAGAAACAGTAGACTTTTTCAGGGTGCCTAAAGGTCATTTTGCTTTCTGAAAGCAATGTTCTTAGGTAAGGATATACAGCCGTCCTGTAGTTACACTTTGGAAATGTGCCACTAGATTATATTGGCAGAGCTGTAAGTTTTTCTCTTTTGCATCACAGATTCCCAGATGATCTTCCATATTTTATATTAAATACATAGGAAAATATAGTTAATAATAGCTTATGGAGCACTACTATCTGTTAGGGATTCTAAGTGCTATATAAGTAATTTAATTTTTTATAGGGTAGGAGTCATTACTATCCTCATTTTTCAGAATAGAAAATTGAGACACTTAGGAGTTAAGTAACTTGGCAAAGGGCACAGAACTAACAAGGCCTAGAGCCAGTATTTAAAACTAGCTAGTCAGTGCCAGAATTCATTACACTATATTGTTCCAAGGTTAGTCTTACTTATAGTCCTTTTCTTCCTTTTGTTGTCTTTCAAGTGCAATTTTAGATAGTTAAATCTAGTTCTTGACTCTGTGGGCTGTTAAATTATTCTTGCCTGAGTTCACCTTTATGCTACTGGAAGTAATTTTTTCCCCTTTTGATTTTTCTGAATCTACAGAGTGTAGGAAGGATAGTGGTTCTTAAATTATTTGGTCTGAAATAATTCTTAAAAATTATTGAGGTACTTATGTTTATGTGGGTTTTATCTGTTGGTACTAAATGTATTTGAAATTAGAATAGAAAATTTTAAAAATATTTTTTAAGATACATCAGTTTTTTCTTTAACAGCTTTATTGAGGTATACGTTACGTCTTTAAATTCACCTTTTTAAAATAATATGATTCAGTGATTTTAATAACTTTATCAAGTGATGCCATCACCATAAATCCATTTTAGAACATTTTCGCCTTCCCCATTAAGATCCTTCATGCCCATTTATAATTAATTCCCAATGTTAGCCCCAGGTCCTCCAGGCAGTCACTAATCTACATTTTATCTTACGAGTTTGCCTTTTCTGGACATTTCATATAAATGCTAATATACATTATATGGTGTCTTAGGCCTGGCTTCTCTCAGAAAATACTTAGCATATTTTTGAATTTCATCTGTGATGTAGCATGTTAGTACTTTGTTCCTTTGTATGGCCAGATAATAGTCCATTGTATGGCTATGCCACATTTCTTTATCCATTCACCAATTGATGGAAGTTTAGGTTGTTTCCAGTTTTTGGCTATTATTAATAATCCTGCTGTGAACGTTGTGTGCAAACCTTTGTGTGGGCATGCTTTCATTCTCTTCCATAGATATTTAGGAGTAGAATTGCTGGGACATATTAGTATTCTTAGATTTAAAATTTTTGAGAAATTTTTTACATCATTTTATATTCTCACCAGTAATGTATGAGGGTTCAGATTTCTCCACATTCTAGCCAATACGTATTCTTCTTTTTTTTTTTTAATAGCCATTCTAGGATGTGAAGTGGTTTTGATTTGCATTTCCCTAATGATTAATGAAGCTGAGCATCTTTTCATGTGCCTATTAGCCATTTGTATATTATGTCTGTGAAATGTATACTTAGATCTGGTGCCCATTTTTTGATTGGGTATTGTCTTAGTGAGTTGTAAGGGTTCTCTATAAATTCTAGATGCAAGTCCTTTATCAGCTATGTGTTTTGCAGATATTTCTTCCCAGTCTGTTTTTCTTGTCATTGCATTTTTTAAATGATGTCTTTTGAAGAACCAAAATTTTTAATTTTGCTTAAGTCCAGTTTTTTCCATTTTTTTAAAGTATAATATGCTTTTAGTATCATATCTTAGAAATTTTTGCCTAATCCAAGGTTTTGAAGATTTTGTCCTATGTTTTCTTCTTAAATTTGTATTGTTTTAGCTCTTACAGATAGGTCTATAATCCATCTTGAATTCATTTTTGGCTGAGGTGAGGGTTTAAGTTAATCTTTTTGTATGTGGATATCCCAATTTTTAAAACATATATTAATACACTTAAAGTAGTAATGACTTAACATATGGTAGCATAAATAACATTCTTTGTGAAAAATACCTAATTTCTAAAAAAAATAGTGAGAAGAGTGATGTTGATTTATGTTTTTTCTGTTTGGCTTAATAGAAGAATATTTCTCATGTCTGCTCTTAACTCAGTCTGTTGCAGTGTCACATACCACGTAGTCTCTAGAAAACTCTGTTGTATGGTTGAGAGAGAATTAGAGTGAAAATGTCAAATAATGCCTTAGTATTGTAATAAAAATAGTTTAACTCATGGATCCCACTAAAAAGGTGTGTTGGAGGTTCTGCATATAACACTTTGAGAACCTTTGGTACAAGTTTATTGATTAAAATCTATTTAAAGTCACTTTTAGAATTTCAGTTAGAGCATATCATTTGGCATCTCACTATCATCTGATCTGTGTTTTATTACCTGATAAAGCTTTTAAATATCTTCTAAATTTTTACAAATATGTAGTGTTAGGATGATGATTGAGAAATTTTATAGACTGGGGATTACCAAACTATGGTCAATGGATGAAATCTAGCCAGTTTTAGGATTTTGGTGAAGTTTTGCTTGTTTTGGTGAAGAAAGTTTTATTGATATACAGGCACACTCAGTCATTTTTGTATTGTCTGTGGCTGCTTCCACTCTGAGTACTTGTGACGGAAACTATATGGCCCACAAGCTGTAAACTTAGTACTTACCATCTAGGCCTTTAAGTTTGCTGATCCCTATTATAGATTACAGTTTGGGTTTTTTTGTTTGTTTTTTGCTCTGTTTTTCTCATTTTTGTTGTGGGCCACTGGGGAGGGGCCTCTCCTTGTCCAAGAAGGTGTTCTCAGTTTCTTCAGCCACTCCAGGCTTGGGCCCTAGGGGTTCTGGGGGTGGCTGGGCACATCAGGCATATTCCCATCGTCTTGGAGGGGCACTGGGTAGTTGCAGGGTGTGGCCTCGTTGATCATGATGGTGTACTTTGCGTAGAGGCTGAGTGTGGGCAGAATTATAGTGAGGCCCCCCATGGTGAAGGATGCCATCAGCAGCAGCTCCTTGTCCTCAGCATTCTTGAGGAAGGCAGGGATTCTCGCAGCCCTCTTGGTCTTGGTAGCAGTGGCGGCAACAGCAGGGGCACAGAGCACCTAGATTATAGTTTCTGATGGCTGAAGTTAAGTAAGATGCATCAGCAGCAGGATTAAAAGTAGTTTTCTATAATGTCATGTCAATCAGCTTTATAGTTAATAATAATTAGGAAAAATATTAAACTATCACATCATACTGGGAAGTTAGGCTTAGTCTTACTGACTTGACACTCTTTATATTTTCTTAATTATTTTTCAAAGGATATTTTCCTCATAGTCAAAAAGTTATTTAATATCTTGTGGAGGAGAAAGAATGTTAATTGTTTTTCACATGAAATCAAGATACTTTGTAAAGTGTGTCTTTCAAATGAATCTTTAAGAGATTGTCAAATTAAATCTTAAATGTTTCCATTTGTGGTTTTTCAGGATGATCTTGAAGACCTTATTGTTAATTGGGATGAGAGCAAAAGCATTGGTGATATCTTTCTTAAATATGTAAGTATTTTATTTCTTTCTTAGGTTTTCAAGTTAAAGTGTCATCTCATCAAGGATTGGCAAGGAATGAAAGTTACATTTAAAATGTGAGAGCTTTTAAAACTTTGACATAGTTGTGTTTGTAAAATATATTGAAAGTGTTCTGGTCTTCTGAAACGTGCTTTCTTTATGCAGTCTAACATTTTCTTGACAGCTCAGGTCATCATTAGGAACACTAATTGTACTGTGCTACAATCATTTTACTATATATCATGTTATTTGCCCTTCATAAATAGGCACAGGGTAATGGTTTTTTCTTTGAAATTTTCAATGATTGAGTTTTTATTTTTCTCTTTCCTTGTTGATACCACTTTTTTGTGTCATTGTATCTGCTCTGCATAAAAACTTCCAATGAACTGTTTCTTCTCTAGGATAAGAACAACATAGCTTAAGTTTATCAAATAAAGTATATTAATTTTGAATGAGATGCTGTGAATAGAATTCAAAAATTTCTTTCAGTCTCTTTGATTTACAGTTTTCAGTGCCTTGGGTTCTTACACATTTACTTTTGTTTCCTGAGGCCTCCTAACTTTCATCTTTACTGTATATCCTTAGATGTTTTTTTCTGGTTGGTTCAGAATTCCAGATGTGCAAATTATTGTCTCATATCTTTTTGATACATGTTAGTCTTCTCAGTTAAGATATTTTCCCTCTTTTTTGTTCTCATTTTTGGGTAATAAAAGTTCATCTTTTAATGATGGTTTGGATCCTTCGATAAATAATAGCATATTCTTGGGCTGCATAGATCAACTTTAATTACTATATTTGGAATTTATAGAAGTTTTAAAAATTTGCCATATTTATATCAGTAAAATAAGCTTTGATATACTTTTGTTTCTTTCTGGATCTTTATTTGCTTTTCAGGTTTTAGGCTCTGTGTACCAGTTGGTGCATTGTTTAGTAAGTTACTCACTAGTAAGAAGTTTATAAAATACATTTCTGTATTTAACTTGAGAGGAAACTTACTTTAAACTTTTCTTTCACATTCAGTATGTCAGATTTTGATTATTGATTATTCAACTTTAAGTTTTGTTGACTAAGGGTCACGTGCATTACAAATTAATGTTGGTTTTCTTTTTTCTTGTTCCTAGTCAAAAGATTTGGTAAAAACCTACCCTCCTTTTGTGAACTTTTTTGAAATGAGCAAGGAAACAATTATTAAATGTGAAAAACAGAAACCTAGATTTCATGCTTTTCTGAAGGTAATGTACATTTCTTTCTAATAAAATTCTGAGAATACTTTTCTGAAGGAGTTCATTAAAATTATACTTGTAAAAATGTGTCCATGTAAGAACACCTTAATGTTATCTGCTAACTTTTGCTTTACCTGAGAGGGACAGTGATGTTGCGCTTTGGAAGTTTTGACATGCCTAGGTAGCAGGGTCTCAGAGGCCGCTGAGTGAGTAAGAATAATGTTGTCTCTGGGTGTTTGTTTGTTTGTTTTTTAAGTTATGCATGTTTTAGTTCTCAAACACCTCTAAAAATTTTCCAATGAGATATTTTTGTTTCACTTTTAATGATTTTTTTCTTACCAACGCCTTACTTTGTTTTTTTTGATACCAGCATAATTAATATTTTAAATTTGTTTTTTTCTTTTGAATGATGTAGACTTAAGAGAAACTTAAAGTGGAATATATAGGAGTGGTTAGAGGAACTGCTTTCTGTTTAAGATGTTAATTCTTGGCTTGCCGGGAGGCTCCTTCAGGGCTTGAGAGATTATTAAACCACAGTAACCTGCCAGAGATCAACTGCCACCACTCCTCTCCTATTAGTTCTTATCAGGTCACAAGTAATAAAGTGTAATCACATAAACATAGAGTGTCTCATCTTTGCAGAAAACCTTTAAAAAAATTTTTGTAATTCCTTTCAGATAAACCAAGCTAAACCAGAGTGTGGACGGCAAAGCCTTGTTGAACTTCTCATCCGACCAGTACAGCGATTACCCAGTGTTGCGTTACTTTTAAATGGTACTTCTCTGATCTGTTTTCTGGCAATTTTGGATGTTCTTAGGGAATTGTTTTGTCATAAAAAATTTGAAAAATTTCTCATTTTCAAAGTGTTCTTAGATTTCAGCTTTAAAACTTACATTTTTACATAGAAAGTATCTTTAATAAGGATAATCTGAATAATCACTGGTGCTACAAAAATTCAGTCTGGCCAAAAATGCTTTATTTATTTGTTCTTATGTCAGTTATATTGACTGGTATTGTACTGTTTGTCTCTTCCCTAAAAGTCTTCTTACATTTCTTTGTGTCCCTAATTCAAAATCAGTTTACATCCACATAAACATGAAATTTACCTACAAAATCACAAGATGAGAGATGATTAGTATGTCTCAAGTTATTTAGTCCTTTTCTGTATCTTAGTAAAGTTCTTTATGCTTGACCTTATGCTTTTTTTTTCTTGCATTGTGCAGAATACTCTCCAAACATACATCCATTTATTCTAAAACTTTAACTATAGATACCAATGAAAGGGATTTTCATAGCAAAGATATGTTACAAATAAATTTTGCCCACATGTGAAGAAAAGCATATTTATATGCTTTTACATTTACCTGACTAAAGTAGTGAATATTTTTAGGACAGTGTCAATTTTTATATTTTTAAAATTTAAGTATGAAAATGAAATTATAAACAATAGTGCAATAAAGCATTTTAAAGGTCCCCAAACCTTAACTACAATAGTATGTGTAGCAGACAAGGAGGCTAATTTTGTGACTGTTTAATGTATTATTGTCTTTAAAATATATTGGTTAAACTGTGAGTTATGATAGTAACTACAAAAATTGACAATTTGAGGTTATCTCATGTAGTTTAGAATTACTAGTATACAAAATAGTTCCGCCAGTCTTTAAAAGCTTTTGTGTTTTATAGATTATAAGGAGAATATATGAAGAAACAAACGTTTAACTTGACGAAGCAGTGTATTTTTTCGTAAATTTGTTTATCTTAATTATTGTTTCATTAAGTACTTGTAGGAATCCATCAAATGTTGTCATGATTAAATGAACTTGATTTCTGAGCCTTTCTCATCATTCCACTTAAAAGATTAGGTGGAAATGGTGTTAGGGAGCCATTAGGTAGAAGATTATAAACAACCTAGGTAAGAAGAGTTGAAGTGTATGCATCTTATGAACCTGTAAATGAAACAAAACCTTATCTTGAGGACACCAGCTGCTCCCTGAGAT